AAAACCTGCAAAAACCTTTCTGTCGAGTGATGTAAATAAATTTTACAATAGTTTATGGTGCATGCATATTATATTTAAAGTTGCTTAAGCGAAATCAAGGAGTTTATAAGACTGGTTTATTCATTCTTAATAGTGTAGACATGTAGAACATATCCACGTTTGTGCATCAATGTCTGTAATGTGTGCTGTAGGTGTGAAACTTTTAGGAATCTTATCCAAGTTGTAGGCTTGTCAGTATTGGTCAGTCAGTCCTATCGGAGGATCCGCGAATGAAACTGTGACCACAAACTCCATTAACTTAAGTGAATTATATGGCAATAATCAGCAATATGCTTTCACACAAATAACTTTCTTTTTGAATGTTTCAATATGTGTTGACACAACTGACTTATTTGAATTTTTCATTGATACAACATGGCACTGAGTCGTTAGAAAAGAAATGCGTAGAGACGTTATTGCTTGATGATGTCAGGGACCGATAAATCGGCTTTTTGAACCGGTTCAATGGGCCGATTTGTCCGAAAAGAACCGGTTCGCGGAAATGAATCGGACTTTGCATCACTAGAGTGTTGCATTCATGAACGATTTTGGTGTTTTTGAACAAATTACATTTCTATTTTTATTTAATAAATAAATATAAAAATGAGATTTAGAAATATTATTTGTTTACTTAAAAGATTCGTTCTATCCATTCATCCATCCATCCATTTATCTATACACACAGTTTTTTTTTTTTTTTTTTTTTTTTTTTTTTTTCTCCTTTTTGTGTATACCCACAGTTTTTTTTTTTTTTTTTTTACTTTGTATTTTTGCTCTCAATTCGTCCTGGGATTTCTTCTGACCAACCACATGCTTAGGTTACCAAGCAACATGAAGTGTAAATATTGACAGAAGCTGCAGGTGTATCAGATTTTTGTTGCATTGACTTCAGGAAATGAAATTCTTCACCTGGAGCCATCGGTTTTATGATGACTTCTTTGCAAGATTCAGACCCAGTTATAAGAGACTACATGATTAAACATTCACTTCCTCAGATTTACAAGGTGAATTGTTATTGTTATCTAATGATCTAATTAGTTAATGAATAACCCAGCTAAGAAAATAGTGTAAATGCACAGTGTATTTATTTGTTAATAACATTTATTGTAAAAGTTGTTAAATCTTTAGTAAAAATAAATGCTATTCATTTAGATGATTTTTAGATTTAGATTAATTAATGTTACATTTGTAAGATTTTTTTAATGTATTTTTTTATTATTATTATTTTGCATTTCAACCAGGCTTTACTTGCTGGGTTATGTGTCTCATGCCCCGAAGATCCTTTGCACTTTATAGAGGAGAAGATCCTATCAATCCTAGAGGATCAGGATTGTGAGATCTGCTGGTGTGTGTACTTCTGTATAATTGTTGACATGTATGGCTCTATAATGTAAAATCAAGCTTATAAGCAGTAAACAGTTTTAATACAATAAATAACATCTCTAAAATCTAAATTGTTTCTGAATTCAGGCACACATTTATTGACGAAGACAAACAAATCTCCTCATTGGCAGGAGGCATTGTGTACGATATGTTTGGAAATCCAGAAGACAGCCTGGTAAATCTCTCTTTCTTCATTACGAATGAATAGAGGGTTGAGTGCATCAAACTTCCATGAGCTTAAACACGTTTATTAATTTCCCCTCTCACAGTGTCCGTCACATTTGTTGGAGAAAGCATATTCCTGTTATCGCACCAACCTGTTCAAAATGTGTTTCATGTGAGTGTCAAAACACTAGACTGTAGTAAAAGAGTCACAACAGCAAACAAAACCTGCTTTAGCTACAAAAACCCTGGGCTTGTATGTCAACTAGCTTTATGACTGACGTTTTATGTTAAGGGGTTGGAAGAGTTATATTTCAATGAAGAAAATGAAGGCTGCCAGACTCCTAGAGAGAATGGAAGAGGCTGAGATGTATCACAAACAGAGAGGGATAAAACTGGCTTTCATCAAGTGGACAGCGTGGGTTCAGTTTCGCAAACAGAGGCAGTATGGTACTCAGCTATTATGCTTTATATATTTCATCAGGTGAAATTAAGGTTACATGTAACTCGTTGGAATATTTGAAAAATCCAGCTATTCAATTTATTTAAACACCATTTTGTTCTCTATTAATAATCTAACATATGAAGGCATTATATATTTTATCCAGATGCCCTGAGGAAACTTCAAAAAGTGCAGGAGTCTGTTCACTGCAGAAACACCATCACTGCTTGGCGTCATGTTGTACAGGATGCTAAAAGAGCCAAGGAATACTTCAAGGTAGGTTTTCAAATTCTAAAATGTCAGCAAAACACAAATGCACGGACTAATGAGATGTTTAATGATTATGTATGTCTGTTCAGAGGCTAGAGAGAGATATACAAGAAAGTCAGAACTCAGAGATACCACAGGGTGATGGACAGGACAGATTATCACTGCTGCCTAGCAAACTATCTCTTAAGGTATCACTTAACCTCTGGGATTTTGCCATTAAATAACTAGCAATAATTCAAGTCAACTGATTTTAATAAACAATTTGGTGCAGATCTTCCAAAGTCTAGGTGTGCGTGACCTCCTGAAATGCGCTCTGGTGTGTCATTCTTGGAAAGCGATCACTCAGATCAGCTCACTGTGGACTGAGGTCAGTGCAGCTCACTTAAAAACTCTTGAATTCAGCTCTCATGATGCTATATAGACAGTATAAGCTGTAAAATGTGTTTCCGCAGATCGATTTCTCCCCTGAGGCCAGCTGGATCACAGATCGGACTGTGGAGAGAATACTGCGGGTGCATCGTGTTTATGTGATCTCTGTCAACTTGTGCTGTTGCACGCTGGTGCAGAAGTCAAGTTTTAGACGCATCAGTAAATTTACTTTAATCAGCCTTAAAAGTAATTCGTTTTCGATTTAATCGATATAAGGATCTTGCCTGTTTTGTTTTTTTTTTTTGTCAAAAAAGGTCAATGCAAAAATCTTCAAGAACTTGATATCAGTGAATGCCCAAATCTTAATGCAAGTAGAATACAAACACACTGTGTTAAGGTTTTGCTGCTTTAAAAAAAAATCTATCTAATACCCGTTTTGTTTGTAAACACACTGACAGGATGAAAATATGAAGATGATTTTAGAAGGATGTCACTCTCTCCTCCATCTTAATCTGGCCTTTACTCATATTACTAATGCCACTATAAGAGTCCTGTCAAGGTACAAACTTCTTACATGTTTCTCAGTTCTTCATACTGTACACAACCATAATAACAGAAATACTATATTTTTAAGATGCTTTTGGCATTTGATTGTTGTTTTAAAGATGCTGTCTGATGCTGCGGTCTCTGAGTCTCGCATACTGCACAAGTTTCTCTGATAAAGGCCTGCAATATCTGACCACAGGAAAAGGCTGTCACAGACTCAATTATCTGGACCTCTCCGGTTGTTCTCAGGTGTTGACATGTATAGGACATGAAAACTAGTAATATTAGATCATATTTTATCGAACGTGTAAGTAATTATATGAATATAATAAAATAGTACTTCAATAGTACATAGCCAAAAATGGTAGTAGATACTGTACCATTGTACTTTTTTGGTGCTCAGATTAAGGATTGCTATAATTAATTGCATTGTATAAATGTGACATTACAGTTTTTATTTTTTACTGTAAAGATATCTGTGGATGGATTTAGATATGTCGCTGAAGCTTACAGTTCACTTCAACAGATTGTGTTAGATGATCTCCCCACCCTGACTGACACCTGTGTGCAGGTACATGTTATTATGTGTATTATGTACATTAACATATTTTTTCTATTGTTAGTTGAATGGTGATGGTTGTTTTTCTTTGCAACAAGGTCTTAATGTCTAAATGTCATGCGTTGACTGCGATTTCCCTGTTGGACTCACCGTATCTCT